GCACACCCTGAGAACATGATAACTGAGAACGAGCCGATGCCTCAGACGTGGCTCTACCAAAAATCTGGGATGTGTTTGAATATCAAGAGCTTGAGGTCAGAGGTCGCGGTCTCTTGTGAAGAGTTCATGACTGTCCTCGCTCGATACACAGATCTCGGCACTGCGATCAGCGTCACAGCGCCGCCCAGAGGAAACATTAGGAGAATGATTCTCAACGAGGAGCTGCAGGTCGACCGCGTCACCCAAGGAAAGCTGTCTGCTGATTGGATAAGCCTTCAGCCCCCATCCCGTCGCCGGCGACAGGTTTTTCCAACGTTTCTTTAAAGTACCGTAACTCTTGAATGATTTGCGCATCTTAAAAATCCCAGCGGTTCCTGAAAGCAGCGACGCCATACTTTCCGCTGATATTAGTCATTCGGGTAATCCCAAGCACTGCGTCACAGCGGCCCGAAGACGAAGGTTGAGAGAGACGAAGGCGCACAGAAAACTGACGCTTTGTCAGACATCGTTTTTCTTTCTTACAATGATTTTATTTTTGCTGTTTTCAGTGTTTTATATAAAAATAAGAGTTGCTGGATGTAAGCCCTGATAACAGGGTTTCATAGAACATTGTTTTATGCCATGTTTATTTCATGTATGACAAACACTGCCCCGCCCTCTTCCAGCACCTGTAAAGCAGGTGTATTTGAGGCTTGCAGGACATGCAGGCAGAGCAGGCTGGGTTTATTATCCACTCAGGAAAATGTTGCATAAAAGGAGCACGAGTGTCAGCAGTGCGATGTAGGCCTTTGGCTACAGACTGAGAGGAAGTGTACCGGGGAAGAAAAGAGATGCCCAAAAACAAACCACAGGGTCAAAGGTCACATACTTGTTGTTGTTCAGACTGTAAGTCTTGTAATCATGTACAGTCTCGCTTTCTGCCTCTTTGAGTAAAAACTGTAACATTTCAATTCAGTCCTTTTCTGTTACTAATCCTGATTACGCTCTCAGTAGAGAAAGAAGCTACCAGATGTGGAAAGACGCAGCAATCCTGAGGACGGGGACAAAAGCTCACAGCTGATTTTATGACACTTTTACAGCTAAAACAACCAAATAATTCCAGGAGGCCTGTTTAACATTATAAAGGATAATGCAGCTTCCCCAGAATCCCACTCTGGAGCGATTCTTTGTGTGTGCGTCAGTCTAAGGGCCGACCTGTGGAAGCTCAATAACTCGAAGCTCTGCCAATAAGGAAGCTGCATGAACGACATCATTTCCTGGTTACGTGCAAGCAGAAGGCGCTCGCAGTTTTTAGCAAAAACAAACAATCAGCTTTAAGTTCTCCAGCGTTTACATCAATCTTGCTTCACCGAGCTTTCTGATTGGCAGAGCCTTTCACCTTATAGATGGTGGTGGGAACAAGCTTCCATACCAACCTCCTCGCTCTTACTCTGAAAGGTCAGCGACTGCTAGCTGGTGCTGCAGAGTCTGGCTTTGATATCATGTAAACAGGGCCAGTGTTGTCCTGTACAGAGACCTGGAGAGCAGCGTGTCACCAGGACACTCAGTCATATAACACTCGTTCCAAGGAGGTGCAGCTCCAGCTGTAACCTGAAGCTAACCCTACTGTGACTACGAGTTTCCATCAGCTCCTCTGCTCGCCACAGAGCGCTCACGCTGCTGTCGCCTACATGCACACTGGGAATAACGATGCTAATGCTAGTTAGCACGTTTATGATCAGCTGTTGTCGATCGCTCTGACCATCCTCAGATCTTGAGGTCAGCTCGTGATGCTCATCTGTAGTTTAGCCCC